GTAGATGATGATTTTGCTATTAATAATAACTATAAGTTGAAAGAACCTTTCTCTCTCTCTCTCTCTCTCTCTTAATGCTCTCTCTCTCTGTGAGAATGACTTTATTTTAGGGGGAAAAAAGTTTTTTTGAATTAAAGAAAAGACATTTCATAGTTTAAGTTTATCACCTCAATCAGCAGAATTAAAGGAATTTTTTTTTTTAATAAAAATTTTCAAATGATTTTGAATGAAGGGTCAACAATTTTGACCAAGCAAAAAAAAATCCAAGAAAAGGAACAATTCTAAAATAAAAAACAAAAAAAGGTACTTTGACATTGTGTGTAGATAATGAAGATGAGCTTGGAGGCATTCAGTTCTGCATCCTCCTCGTGTTCCATCACACACCTGAGCAGGTGAGATAACGAGCTCCGTTTGTCAGCACACTTCAGTGTTTGTTGTGACACATTATTTGTCGTTCATTATTATGTCTACTCCTACTCTGTTGCGTTTGAAGTGACTCCTCCAATACCACTGTTTCTCTGCGTCTGCAGGCAAAACTCTTGGGTGGTGTAGGAAAAAACTTGATAGAACAATATCAATTAAAATTTGAATGCACAATTGCCCTCCCACCCAATTCTGTCAGTGTGCCAACAGTTGGAGGCTCATCAGTAGAGTTAAAAAACAGGTCTTAATCTCGTTAAGCCATCAAATTGGTGTCAAGATTAGTGTATGCAGCATCTTTATGTATAAAATAAACAAACTTCTCATGTGCTGTTTGCCAAAAACTATGAAGGGGTGTAATTAATCTATGCTGCAACTTAAAATTAATTTGTTGTATTTTTAAAAAGGGGTTCACACTTTCCTAAAAATTTCCACATTTTCTTTCCTTTCATTTTTGTGTACTTATCTTAATAATTCTCAGTGCCCGAACATTTTGTGAAGTACAAGAAATTGTCATTTTATGGATCATAGCGAGACAATTTCATCCCTGGCTTGTCACTGATTACACTAAAGATGAGGAGCAATTTTTCAAGATCTCTGCACATCTGTAATCCTTGTTTTGAAAATCATTCACAAGCAATGGAGACAAAATAACATCATGGTTGGGTGCTTTTTTTTGTCAAATTATTTATTTATAGATATACTGATGATTTTTTTTTTATTCTCTCAATATTGATATTATCGGATGTTCTAGTTAGGTCATCAAAGACGGATAGATTTTGAATTGAAAAGAGAGGAAAAAATTATTTTCCATTAAATATTATAAAGTATTGTTCAGTTTGTCTCCACCCAGTAGAATCCAGTCTCCATGATTTTTTTTGATTAGCAACAATAAAAAAAAGATGAAAAGGAAATAATGCAGATTGCTCACTATTTCTTTTTTAGCAGACCTTTTGTCCTTTTATTTATTGTAAGCATAATAAAGCAGGGATTTGTGGGGTACATATGGTTAATATATTTAGGAGATAAATACTATAATTACATGACAAAGCAATCTGACATGTGCCTGAGAGCTCTCTGCCTCCGAGGTGCAATCCTCGGTTATTATGCTAAAAAGGTGCTGTTTACTGTAGACAAATATTGTCATATTTACAAAAGGATATTTATTTTGGGGGGCAAGTCTTCACATTACATTGGCCTTCTTCCTTCCTGCATTCTGTAAAATACAACAGAGCCAGACAAAAAAAAAGATTGTCAGAACAAACAAAGTTGTCTTACAGATGTATGACTGGTCAGAAAAATGCCAGAATCTTGTCACGACTCTAAGAAGAGTCAGGACTGCTAGAGCCTTTTTTGAAGTTGTGAGACTTGACAGTTTTTCTGTCTTGCGACAATGCCTGTCGTTCCCGGTGAACATGGCCAGTTATGTCAATGGCTGCAGGAGGAACACAGTTCTCTCATGTTACCATATGTAATAACAGATTATAAGTGTTAAATATTAGATAAGTATCGCCAATGAATGTAGTTCTCCTAATGTAGAAAATTAATCAACAACTTTACAATGTGACCTAAGGCCTACATTAGAGGAACATTAAAATAGCGCCTATTGGGTGATAAATTCAATAAAAATTTCCTTTTTATTGTTCTTTACCCTATAGGAAAATGCCATTTTCTTTTGCATGTGAATAAAATCAGCAAGATTTAAAAAATTAAAAAAAATGTCGATTTCCATTTGACTTTACTGAACAAATACAAATGATGAGGATTGAATAAGGATATTATAATTTATGTTCAAGTTGATGATTTTTATGTCAGTTGTTGATAGAAGAAAGAATGGATTTTCATCCATGTGTATTTGATTTAATTGCATCAGAAATCAGAATGGACAATGAATGGATTTTCAGCATGTATATTTGATTTAATTGCATCAGAAATAAAAAAGGACAATAAAAGGTGTTTTTGTTGTTGAAATTCAAAATGAAATAAAACCCTGGACTAGAAATAAATATTAAATGTATTGTGTGTTATGGTCCTTGTCAGTATTTTCACTTCCCTACATTTTGCATACATGTAATTGCTTTCTAAAAGTTTAACCACAAGCTATAAAAAGTTAACAATGCCATTTCAGGATTTTAATAATACAGTTTTCATTTAGTATGAGGCAAAGGAGCAGGTACAGTCAATTACCAATGGGATCCCACTATCAACATGTTTAATGTGGCCAATTTAAATGGATAGAGAGAAATCAGAGAAAAAAAAGATAATTCAAAAATCAGTTAATGTATTTTAAATATTTGAATTTGAACACAAAATTACAGGGGGTAAAATATCGGTTAATTTAAAACATACGCTGCATTTTCGTAGCATTCCATACAAAAGGGATGTACTTTTTCACACTTGTGCAATATTGTTGGACCTGTATTACACATGTAATTATTACACTACATTATGAGCAATTGCTGAAGAAGTGTGATATAACATGTGAGTTTGTCTATAAGAGGAAGAAGTAGATATATATATACCACAAAGCTAATGAATTTGACCTAGCAGAGGCCAGTAAAATGAATAACTGCTGATCATTATTAGAACACAGAGGGATAAATCCATCATGTCCATCAAACCCATCACAACAGATCTCATGAATAATCAATTATACTTAGGTATATCTGTCTTAGAAGGGTACTGTGTTTACTTATTTTGGGACAAGCAGATAGAAAAATAGGCTTGAATATTAGAAATGATCATATTGCCATTGGTTAGAGAAAAAAATTTCACTCTGTTCTGTAAAAAATTAGACTAAACTCCTTATTAGAGCTGTAGAAAAAAAAATTACACATGAAGTTTCAATTTTTATAATTCTTTTGTACTAAGGTGCAGGAAATAGCAATGGGAAGTTCAACGTTGAATGGAAATAAAATGATTTTCATTGCATGTAGTTATAAAAGTTACTGTAATAGTAATTCAATATTTCTTAAAACTTGTTAGACACCTGATTCATCATTGCCAATCATAGACTGTTAGGTAACATATAAAAATATTAGTTTTAATTTGACTGATTATAAAGTATCATGCTTGTAAAAAGCACTTTCACAGTTATATAGCCACTGGCCAAAGTTTAACAAATGGGATATATAAGCACATATATATGCAATGAAATTTTTAATAAGATTATTAAAGTTTTAAAAAGTTAGAAAATAGATAAACAATTTACACATTTAAAACAATATGCTGAATTAATCCCCCCTCCCCCTTTACATTATCTGAATTTAACATTTTTATTTTGCATATAATGTATTTTTAAATTATAAAAAAAAAAATCAGAATTTTAACCTGCAATTTAATAGATCTCAAAATATGTCCATAATGCAGGAGAGGATACATTAAGGGTGGCTGGGGAAATTTCAAAATTAAATCTTTGAATATATGTATAATTGAAAGAATACTAAGTTTTATGCTGCATTACATCAATCTTGACATCTGGTGCCTGGGTAACACAAATTATATCCCATGACTCAAAATAGTCTGGATTTTCTCTAAATGAGCCACAAAATATAATTCATGAGATGGTTAATAAAAATTGTAATGATCATCAATAGGTAGCTTACATCAGATCAAATGACAGATGACAAAGATACATTTGTACAGGCCCCAGGCACTGAAGGAAAAGTAAGGAAGTATGTATAATACCCGGTGAGGTTAGTCAAGGTGTTACTCTTAGTCCACCTTTGTTTGTTTCTACACAAAACACTTCCTAGTCTATTGTCAGAGAGGAAGGACTTGTTTTATTTCTGTGCCACACTGTGATACAGAAGGTTGCATTGACATTGTTCTCTCCAAGAATCAGGTTTGATGTCCTTCAAGTTTGTTATATTTTTACTTGTAATTTTAAATTTAAGATTTTCATATATCATTTTTTTTAAACAAGGTGCATGTATTCTAATTTTTTTTATTTTAGGATATTTAAAGTTGTTAAAAATTAATAATTTTTCTCTATCATGAATGAAATGAAGTGGTTTACGTGCTAAACTTCATGCAGTTTTTAGATATAATGATATTCATTGTATTTACTGAAAGAGCTATGCTTACCATTGATAAAAAAAAAATCTCAAAAAAAATTTCTTATCCTTGGAAGTTTGCAATTGCAATTTAATACTGAAATTGTAATAAAACTTAGTGTAAGCCTATATTTTTGTTTATAACATGCCTTGTTCTAAGAGTCTAATCTAAGATTTCCATACTGTGAGATTTTGTAGAAGAACACTGTGAGTTTTGTATACCAGAATCATTGTTTATGGTTTGACATTCTGCAAGTCCTTGGGAATTTTTATAAGTGCAGTTCCATATTTTACTATAACACATTCAAGATCTGATAACCTCTGCATCCCAGCTGTTAAAGAACAGTAACTGATCATCCTAGATTTCAACTTTCACATCAAAATTTGAAAAGTGTGATATGGTGACAGTTTATGCAAAATATGCTGAATTTGTTGCCTTTTTCATCACCTTTCACTCTCTGTTCAGTTATTACAGAGATAAGGCAATATATATGTTCTTAGGATTTATTTCTTTTCATTTTATAGGAGTATGTCTTCAAAACGTAAAAATACTCCGACCAAACTGCCAAAAGACAGCAACAGTGAAGTAGACAGTGACAGTGACACTGAAACCAGTCTCCACATTGTGACAAAATCAGACAGTGAAAATCAGGACTCAGATTCATCCAGCAGTCGGCCACCAAGCAAAAAACAACGAATTCTTCAAAGTGTCCGACAGGACTCGGACTCAGAAACTGAGCTAGAACTCTTATCACCTCATCAACTTCATCATCACCTCTCAACAAAGTCCAGTCTGGGACTGCAGCGTAAATCCATGGAAAGTGTTCTCCGACGATTGAGCTCCAAATCAGACATTTCCGAGCTCGAGAACAACAACATGAATGAGGACAGCAAAGTCAAAGAAAGCATTCAGGTTTTACTGAGTGACGGAAGCTTGAAGGAGAAGGAGCAAAGACTCAGTGAGATGATTGCTCAACTCCAGAGCCTCAAGGAGGATCTGTCCACTCAAAAACAGGTAGGACATGCAGCCTTAATGTGAAATACATGAGTTGTATGAATCTCCCATATATGATAAAGCTCGTGATTGCATAATCATGTTCTGCAAATTTTTTTTCAATTCTGCCAATTGTTGATTTTAATTTTCTTAAATATAATATATTAGTATTTTGTAAACTTCTGTAAATGGTGTTTGGATGATCCAAGACAATAGAGTTAATGAGAAAAAAGAAAATGAGTAAAACAAAAAAGCAACTGATATTGTTATTTATTGTTTTACTTGTGAGTCACTATAAAATCATTGTGATTCCTCCTGGGTTTTTGATTGATGAAAGCTGGATCATTTGTGATCATGATCTCTCTTTGTTTTGACAAGAACAATATGTTCTACATCAGTTTGAGAAACAGATTTTTTTTTTTTACATTTGAAGTCTTGAACATTATGATAAGCATCATAAAAATGGAATAAAAATCTTCAGATATTATTTTAAATTTATTACATACATTTTTTGGCAACTTGTATCTTGATGTTTGAAAACAAATGAACATGGAATCTACTAAATTGCAGATACCATTGAAAGAAAGTTTTATACATACATATATAGAAAAGCTAGTTAGCAGTCATTTGGAAGAATTGATAGTGCCTCTACAGAACTCATAATTGAACTGTAGCCATTGTTTAGAATCTAATCCAGCCATCAAATTATCTGATTTTCTGGATTGTTTCAAAGTTAAGTGAACGACATGGAAAGGTACTCCTGCATTATCAGGAAAACAAGGCAACTATAAAGAAAAGATCTCCCCCATTTCCAACTTGTTATGTACTGCAGATTTAGTGATGAGATGTGATTGTTTCTAATCAAGGGAGATAATTAGATTATTTTTTTGTGTCAGTTATGCCCCTTTTCTTTAGGAAAATGAAAGTATTCTTGATCGATATTTGTGTATATATGTATGAATTTGTTTGAAATGATTTGCCAGTTTTTCAGCAGCACTTATTGATGGTAATCAACAAGTGTAAAACATTTATATAAGATTGTAAGAATTTTAAATATTCTACATGGTTGACCAATTAACCAATTTTGAACTCTAATGTTGCAATTTTTTCAAATAAAACACCTTTAAGGACATAAATGTTTGGGTAATTTTTAAATGAAAGTAGTTTATCTGTGTCAATTACTTGGAAAAAAAACCCACTGTTGAAGTTTGCCCACATCCTTAAAGTTCAAGTATTTTATATGTACCCAGAAACACTTAAGACTTTTTGTATTGTATTCCTGGTAGGGGAGTATATCAGGTTGATAATTCCTGTCTTTTTTACAGGGTTCCATAAACCACACAGAATACAAGAACATGCCAGGTAAGTACAATTTTTTTTCCATTTTTTGTTTTAAATAGGCATTACCTTAGGATAACAAAAATTCAATTCGATAAAAATCTAAAAATTTATTGTTTCTTTGAGGTACATACTATTTGCATTAATTTTAATTTTTAAAAAGTGAAAATTTTGAAGATATGATAAATTAGAAAAAAAAAGAGACTGGGAAAAATACTTCTTCTTTAAGAAGCCCCCATTGTTTTCAGGAAAGGGTGCTCTTTGTACGTCCCAGAGTGCATCTTGTGGTTTTCAGGCAGATCGTGTTTATAGACATGCCAAACTAAATCTGTACACAAGAAACAACCTATAATGTCTTCAGCTGTCCAACCCATATTTCAGGCTTCAAAGCAGCTTAAGACTTTGTTTTGGAAAAAATAATAATGGTAAAAAGTTAATTCATTTTGAAGAAAGGCAACATAATATGATAGTATAGTTGATTGTTAGTGCAGTCTTTGAAGTAAGTGATTTAATCTTCCGTACCCATGGAGTTGCAGTCATTTTGATTCTTGGGGAGAATTATGATCACCCTTGATAAAAACAAATGTTGGTGATTAAACAGTTTTTTTCTTGCCACTTCCCCCATTGACAAATCCACGTGATATTACCTACTAATTATTCACAAGCCGTCTCTCTTCCTTACTGAAATGAACAAACTAGCACTTCTCAGAATGGTCAATGGCCGAAACCTATACAACATCAAAAAGCTCTTTACCTAAACAACACTGTTGAAAACGAAATTTGTTAATTGTCTGAGAGGATTCAGTCTCCCCCCTTTTTTTATTGTGGGAAACTTCAGAGAACCACAAAAGTTTACTAGTTTTTAAAAAAAAAAAGCATATGGAAATACCAAAGCTAGCTCTCCTTCTATCCGTGCATTTGTTAACAGGGAATTCATCATTGTTTCATTGCATTTAGTTTTTCAAAACCTGACAGAGACAAAGGTATTTGATGCCTCATTATTGTTAGTGAAGGAAGGCAATTAGAAATGAACCATGCCACTCTGAGAAGAGCAAGACCCCCACATCACAAGATCGAGTTCCCACAATCCAATGCCAGAGACAGCCAGCAATATTCAACAGATGCTCCTATTCTTTCTCTTTTACAACAATGCTAAAAAATTAATTTTAAATGAAAAGTCAAAAAAGAATTTTTTTTCCTCTTTCTTTCTCTTTTTCTGTCTTTCATTGAGATGAGTTTAAACTAATTTTTGGGAGGTTTATGCTAATTGAGTGTGTTGGGAATGTGAAGATAGAAGTTTTGTTATGGGGATTTGACAGTGATGATTGTTGGGGAGGCTAGGGTGAATGCATAGACCACATGTTTTGTGTTATGCTAGGAAATGTCAGGTAATGCCAGCATTTCAACAGAACAATTATATTTGTCAACAAGGTCCAAACAGAAGGCTCTCTTGTAGATAGATATTCTGGGAGCCAGAGAGCTTTGCAGTGGCTAGCAGTAGAAATCTTTGATTAAATTCAAGAGTACTCAAGAATTTACCCATGGGTCCTTGAAAAGCCGGAGTGGGAACATTTGGTAATTTTAGGGTGCAAATGTAATCCTTTTCTTTTCTGCATCCTGTCCAATCTATGGTACGAATAAAGCTTTTTATCAATGTCCAAACAGTTGCGATTGATTAGAACCAATGGATAAGGCATTGGCACCTAAAATTTCAGCCCTTATCAATATCATTCATACAATAGGCTACATTGTGTGTTCCCTAGATTTTGTGGAAATTTCAAGTTCAAGAGAATGCATGTCTAACCTTTTAGGTTATCTCTGCCTCTCCAAACAACAAAGAAAGTGAATTTACTTTTGATAAAATGTTACAGAATACCTGATTATACCGTAGTGGGTTCAATTGAGAGGTGCCGGTGGGGCGATATATTACTTCTATAGAAAAGTCATCAACACAGAGAGAAAGGTCTACATGTATAGATCGGAAATGGGCCAAGCTCGTGAAAGAATGGAGTTCCTTCTCCAGTGTTTCATCTGCTTTGTGGACCTTTTTTGTGTTTGATTTGATATCTAAATCTGTTTTATGTCTTTTAATTAAAATTCTGCTGTGTGCTCCCCAACTGACCTCCTCCATTTACTCTGTTTAGCTGAGGCGGGTTCGAAGAAATAAACTTACAGAGGTCAGGGTACCTGCACTAAAGGTCACCCCACAAAACATATCCACAAGTCTACTTCAAACAATACCCCATAACTGGAATGTTTACACATTGTAATGATGCCAGGCAGGAGAAATTTACGACCTCCGTGAATGCCTGTATTGTTGTCTGAGCACATTGTAATCATACAACAGCCTCCTTCTTTTGTTTTACGTGGGCTTAGCAAGGTCCGATGAACAAATATGGCAATCACTTGTGTTAAATTTCATATTAGGGGCTTTCGAAACAAAAATGAATATTGGATTTGTTAAACGGCATCAGAACAATTCCTGCGATTGTTGGCCTTTGAACAATAGGTTATCAATACATTGCAGCTGAAAATGTTTTTTTTTCTTGACATTTTTTTTAAGCAGTTTGTTTAAACAATAGAAGTGTACAGAAGGAAACACTATTTCCTTTATTTTCTGTTACATTGTGAATTGCATTCAAACTTTAATGGCCATTGTGATTTCAAGTATGCTGCACAAGTGCAGGTGCAGAAAAACACTGTTGCTTTTTTGTTTTTTGTATTCTTATGTGGCATTCCAAATATATTAGCAAACAATTGAGAGAGAAAAAATATCCTTAAAAGAAAAAGCACAGTTTTATGATTAACCTGAATGGCAATTGACCTGGAAGATTTTCTGTACTATTTTATCAAAATAGCACTGGTGCTGAGAAGAAATCTTTTTCTGGTGAATGCTTTAGGTGTTGTTGAGGAGACCAAAAAGCATCAAGTATTTACCGACCCAATAAGGTCATAATTGAGTAGAGACTGTTGATAGAGATAACAGAACATTTAATCACTACTCCAAAAAAATAATAATAAAAAACATTTTTTTTTTACTCAGTTGAAAACATATATAGTTTAAATATGTGGAAGAAAAAATGATTTTTTTTGGGGGGGGGTTTCATAACTAGACGTATGTAAGTCATGAAACACAGCTATAGATGCCTCGGGGGGTTCCCCAGCATCCAGATTGGTAGATTTCACTCTTGTAGAAAGTGGCCCTTCTGGCAGTGATCAGCGATCCATTACGTTCCTTAAACCAAGAAGTACTTCCTAGTCATCTCATGAAAATATCAATGGAAAGTCCAAAAATAATTAAATATTACACAGGCACTTCACAAACTGGGGACATTGAGGAAAACACATTAATATTTTTCAATTATTTTGACATATGTAATGATTTTCAAAAGTTTTCATGGTTCAAGTTTCAAGTTTTATTTTTTAGCTCACCTTTTTTTGGCTTCAAGTCTGGTAAACTTGACACAAATGTCATATCTTTCGATATCTTTGGTGTAGGTTTTTGAGTTTGCTAAGGAGGGGAAATGACTTCTCTAAAAAGACCTGCAAGGTATCAGGTTTTAACTGATGTATTGCTTTACGGGTTGATGATAGGGTACACAAGGTTGCTCAAGTTCGACTGTCACATAATCTGAAGACTGAGTTAGGCTGACAACTTGAGAACAATGCGGGCGGGTAATTGGGCAGTAGGGTGCCTTGTTTAGCAATATCGTGAAGGTGGGCAGGCAACAATAGACCAGATAACAATAGCATCTTGTGGTCCAAACAATACACAATGTGTACCCATACTGCGCTGAAAAAAGGCAAGACAATCCTTATCCTTTCAGTTAATGCAACAGGTACAATGCGGTATGATGATACTGTTAGTGCTCAGGTCAAGGGGGAAAAATAGATATTTTTTTTTTGTGAAGGAAACAATAATTTTATCCACTGTGTCCTGTTGACCCCCTTGATTTAAGAGTTTTTTTGATTAGATCCCCCTATTGTATACAGTGTGCTCAGCCTTGGATGGAGTAGAAAATCTAACAAGGAAGGCGAAAACAATGAGGATATGTGACAAGTGATACTCTAGATGGCCATTGTTACACGCAGCATAATTGTCATGGAGATACAATATTATACAGCTTTTTTTTTCATTCGCTTTTGAAAATTTTAGTTTCAAAAACTAGGGGGTTTTATTTCTCAAGTTGTTTTCGGGAGTGTAACAAATTACTGAGATGTTGAGTAAGTACGGAACTCTTAATTTTACATCTTTTTTCTCATTATTATATAATCTTTTAAAATTTGTACTAAGAAGAAAAAAAATTAAAAGGCGCTTAATTACTTTTTTAACACTATAAATTCTATATTGTTTTAGAAATGGCTTAAATTTAAGATTGGACAAGCTTTCATAAAATTTAAATTTAATTTTCAGGGGGTAGTGTTTCTCGTTATATTTGCCAGGAAAGCATGGTCAATATATGTAACTTTTTAAAAGCGTATTGCTTTCTCTTTTTCCAAGATTATGAAAACCTGTTCCAGGGAATTAGCCAATGAACTTCATTTGTACCAGAAAGTCTTAGGGGGCAGAGGGTACAAAAGCTTATGGTTCCCTCATTATTTTCTTTTCTTGTGCACCCCAAAACTGTTTTTCCTGCCCCGGAACAATAAGAGGACAGGCTTGAAAAGTACTGTCTCACCCACAGAGGCTTTCAGCCTGATGCTTTTGCAATGATTAGGGGGAATTGTTATATTTCTACCATATGTTTTTCTCACTCTGTCGAAGATTAGGTGTAAAGAAGCATGCTATAAGAGAGGAGTCAAGCTATTGTAGCCAAAGCAAATTGTTTGCGGAATGAGCTGTTTTTTTGTGTTTGTTGAACTGTTAATAATCGGCATAAAACAAAAAAAAAGATTGGTAATCATGGGAGAGGGTTTGTGGGGATTTCTAATATTATTGTTTTGTTTCTCCCAGTAGAAAGTGATAAACATGCTGTTAAATTTTCTTATTTCTAGAGAAATATGTTGTTCAACTGAAATGAATGAGCCATGTAATTTATACTGAAAAATCATATTTTAAATTTCCAAATTTTTATGGAAATATTTTTTAAAAATAAAAGTGGATTAAAAAAATATATAGGAAAATAAATGTGAGTAAGAAATGAATTATGAAATCAGTAGTGTGAATTTATGACAGTGACATGTTTTATATAGTTGGTGGTGTCTAGAAGATCTTATGATAAGTCGCAAAAAAGTAATTGGTTGCCTCTGTCGAGTGGTTATCAAAACTCATAATCAACAATATCTTTGTAATTAGAAAAACAGGAAACCTCCAAAAAGTATATTACTAGGAATAATAAGCAACACTTGATGTTTAGCTGTCCCAGGTTACGAGTCCATCAACATACGAAATCAAGAATTAGCGGCATGTGTCTTTAGCAAGTGTTTAATCATTTCCTGCACTTTATCGTCTTAAAGAAAAGCATTCTGACGAGCACAAAATAAGGATGAAAAAAGGCCGCAGCAATTATCAGCTAAAAACGTGCTAACGAAAGTCTCCACACCTGCAGAAAGTGGTCATATCACAAAAAGAAAGAAAAACTCTTTTTGAAAATCTGCTATGGTGATAAGTATATGCAAAAAGATTTTTCGAAAAAAGAAATTTTGTTCTGACTTCTCATAGAAAGGCTAAAACAAAAGCCACACACACTCTTATTTCGACAATAGCGCGCCAAAATTGATAAGATTATCAAATCTTCAGAAAGATAATGTTATCTTAATGATGTGGAAATATTTGTTCAGATTCAAGAATTCTGTTTTTTCCCATCTCAAATTATTCATAAGGACCAGGTGCATTGTAAGTTGTAATAAGTCAGAATTACTTATTATTGAATCTTTAGAGGTCTTGTGTTTCTTAGGGAGGGATTTTCGAGGGCTGTGTATAGAAATGAGTTCCGCATCAGTGGAGAGTGCGATACATTGTGAATTATTTCAGTTTTTCTGCCAAATTGTTTTTCCTCTTAGATCTTCAAATATGAAAAAGTGACATAACAAATTCATTAATTTATGGAAACTGATTGCAAATGAGGCATGGATTCCCCTTGAATCTGTGCAGATATCGTTTCCTATGGCAGGTATGACACTGATGAACTCAGCATAACTCATGTTTTATTTTCTTATCATGTTTGCATTTTTAAGCAGTTAAAACAAAAAAAAGTAAGTATAAAGTCACATAACCGACCTTTCAAATCTGAGTTTTTTGTTCCTTGCTGAGTTTTCATTGTTTGTTAATGATGGGTTCTCAAGGATAAAAGATGGTTGATTGTTTTTTAAGACAAGAGTCACTACTTAGCAATTTATTTGGGTTCATAAATTGTTATTTCTACAGAAACAAAACCCAGAAACATATGTTGATAATAACAGAGTCGAAATTTATATACTATCCTATTAAACTGATAGGGGTATTATTTCTTCTAACCGAAAATTAAATTGTCAGAATTTGATTGTTTCACTCTGTTGTTAAGTACTATAGGACAATTTCTTTCCATTTTTTTTAGTGAATTTCCTGCTGGGAATTTTTTTAATAAGATTGTAGACTGGATGAAAAGAAAATTATGAGCATTTTGAATGGCTATGAATTAATGTGTCGTTAAGGGGAACAGGAAAACTTAAGTACAATTAACTCAAAGTTGTGCTTTGTTCAGATGATTTTGTGTATTATTATTCCAAAAAAAAAGTATTTACACTGATTACACTTTAAACATTCTTGATTATATATGAACTCGGAGAAAGAACAGAACGAGCTTGAGTCTATTTCTTTTTACTACTTTTTTAACAGTTCATCAGCAGAATTAATTTGCACTCTGTCTTTGATGCTGGCTAAACTACACCATGACTGCTAATCATTTTCTGGTGGCATTGTGAAAATAATGAATTATAAAGCCAGCAAATTCACAACTAGCAGGTGTTAGGTGGGGAGCGGGGGTCTCTTGAAAGAATTCAACTTGCCACCAATTTTCAGTCACATCCCTTCAAAATATTAACAACACGTGAAGTTAATAATAATTTCATCAGCCCCTGGACTACACAATCCATGCAGTGTCTTAATGTGCTCTTATAATTATCCCTAGAACAAAGCAGAAAGGTCTCAAAGCATGTGGAGAGAATTTTTCAGAAAATTGCCTCCAGATTTGTAGATTTTGAAGAAAAAGCCATTGTTGATATTGTTTTCTCTTAGTTCAAGCATATTATATCCCAAGACTTAAGATTGCTTTTGTTTCTATCGATGCTCAGGCCTGCAGTGAATTTTCATTTCATTGGAATTGGAATGGCATGTTCTGAAGCAGTAATAGACTTTTTATTGGTCATGTTAAATTCATTGCTTTGTTATGATAAATATTTTAGGATTTATTCTTCACATATATTTACATTTCTGATCAAATATTTTAATGCTTTTTTTTTCAGTATGATTCAGAAATTATTATTGCATATTAATGGGAAAATATTTTTATAAAGAAGTTAGAATATCAACAAAAATTGGACAAGTTTCAAAAATATATTTCAATTGTTCAAGTCCATTATTGATAAATTGTGTTGCGATGCAGAAAAAATTGGAACAAAACTTTGCTAGACAGGATGTGTCAAGATAAACGTTAAACACTCTTTGTCTTTTATTACCGTTTTGAACAACAAAATAATTGTCTTATCGTTCACTATTTTAAGCTAAAAGATACCCTTAATGACAGTGAAACTTACTGAAAATAAACACATAAAATACAGATTTATACCGATTTCAACAACGAGTCCCTGTTCTATTTTGAACTTTTTTTTAAAAAAAAGGAGGGGGAAGGAAAAAGATTGTCAGCTCGCCTTTTGTCTGTCTGCAGGAGATAGCAGATGAAAAAATTGATTATACTTATTCGAGGAATTCTTGTAAAACAAAACAACAAGTCGGATATTATCTCCATCAACAAGGGGAAAAAAGGCTTAGTCTTATCACATAAATTTTATAAGATGTTTGCAAATTCTGTCGTGGCAAGTCCTGACCCCATTGTTGCTGATATCAAAGCTGCGATAAACTTCACAAGTGAAATGATGTGATGTGACTTTGAAAAGAAGCGGCTTTTTTCTTTTCAATCTCATTTTTTCCCATCTTTCAATCATAAATCAGTTGTCTGTAAAATTGAAAAGATAGATATGCATAAGAAAAGTCCCTTGTATATTGTTGCAAAGGAGCTTCCTGCTGTGTCCAATCTTAGCAGCCAAGGCAGTGATGTGTGGAAATATGGCATAAGTTGAATTTCTTGAATGGTTAGCATTGGTCCCTTCAGAACTTTGCTATAATTCCTACCACAATTAGATTAGTATCAAAGCATTTGATGTGTGTTGCAATTGAATGTCTCAGATTTTTGGCTGAGGTGTGGAATGTCATGGAGGGGAGAGAAAACGCGCTGCTCAAAGGTACACGGAAATGTCATCAATTTTAGCCTTGTTAATGATTTATGAATTTCAAATTATCTTTTCAGATTTGACACTTTTGAGGACCCTTTTTAAAAAAAAAGTCCTTAAAAATAAATGTCATTAAAAAAAATATTCAATTTGTTTGGGGAAAATCTGATGTAAGTGTGAAATAATCTTGAATGGAATACTGAGTAAGAAGAGTAAATTCTGCCAATATCAATTTGTCTGTAGATTAAGATTGATATGAAAATGCAGTAAAGGGATGAAAATCCGGCATAAAATTGGCAAAGAAGAGATAGTTCTAGCAGATTTTTTTTCTTTCAAAATTATTGAGAATCTTGTGTAACGGATGGTGTCATCTGATTACAGTCTAGGTATAAATCTTCTGACAATCTTTTATGAGGGTACTAACTTGCAGTCCTTCAGTTTCTCAAAATTATCTGGTAAAATATCAGTTACTTGCATAATTTTATGATCCCAAATTCTTGTGATCAAGATGAAAAGAAAAAACATATTTTACGATAAAAAATTTCTCTTTTTACCCAAACTTTCATTTTATCATATTACATTGAGAATTGCATTAAAATTTCATTTTGAGGCCTATAAACAGACATTTTGACTGTTGATAAAGTGGATCTGATTTTTTGGTGGAAGGCTGAGAATAAATTGGATTGACTGTAATGATTCCTTTATGACTGAGCAGGGAGTTATAGACAAGAGTTATTTCCCTTTCTGACACAGTGTGGAGATTGAGTGATGAAGCAAGAGGTCAAGTTAACACTTCAACACAGACAGAAATAAATTGTTTTTTCCTCTCTTCTACAAATGGTGCAGGAGATCGCTCTCTGATACCAATCACAATTGCTGCTATTCACACCCAAAATCTGAGCAGAAAATCATCATGTTTTTGCCGGCCCTAATTACGACTAGCTTGTCATTTCTAACAGTAGATAACAGTGTGTGAGATGCTTCCTGCCTACAGTCAAGTCATCATACTTTAATGTACCAAATGCTATGTTCCATACCCCTAATCCCTAGAATCTTATCTGAAAAGTTAAAATAAAAATGATTAATCTTTGTCTATTGCTTTTTATTGTGGCTGAAGCTGTCATAAGTTTTCTGAGAAAAACTGCATTTCTCTTCCTCAATATTTCAAGTTCAGTGGCAAGAATAGATAATAACAATACGGTTTTCTGGTAGGCCCTCTCTTCTAAGTGGCCACTTGCAAGGTGTTGATATAGTATGATAACAGACCACACACTAAATAGTAACCATTATGTCTCTTCAAAAAGGAAGGAAATGCCCTTTGTTTTCATATTGTAAAATTTGACAAAAGATATTTTTGTCAATCCAGAATACATATAATACTCAAGAGGGACAAATGAAATTGTTTGACTTTTGTTGACAAGTGTTTTTTTTTTTCAATTTTTTGCAGTATCTGGCAGTGAAACAAGCATCTCTCATGCATCTTCCAAAAGCTCATCTCCCATCAGTATGGACAGCCGACCACAACAGTTATCTCCAGTTCTCTCCCCCTATCACCATGGTTCACCCCGATCTCAGCCCTCACCCAAAGTCAGAAAGGGGAGCCCTCCAGCTGCTACCTCCCCTCACAGCTGGGGTGGGGCCATGAATCAGGAAATCCCTCTGAACCTGACCAAACCCAGAGGATACAAAACAGAGAAAGTGGAAGAGATGTATGGTTCACCAGAGAAACATGAAGGGAACAACAGAACACCCCCTCCAGCCCATATTCACCACAAGAGACAGGTGGCCTCTCCAGTCACTACCCCTACCACAGAGATTGGGCCGTTTCCAGGTGTCCGGCTACCACTTGGATTTCCTCAGTATCCATTCATGATGGCCAATCCTATGGTCACCTCAATGTTGAGTGGAATGACACCACCTGGACTAATGAATGGAAAATCTCATCCAGATCATGACAAGGTAATACTAATTAACTTAAAAAAAAATTTAAAAAGAAACTCTGAAAGTTGATGGATAAAGTTTACAATTTTTACAATTGAATTTTTTCAGTACTTTAATGCTACAGATAGTCAAGAAGTACATAAGTATTGTTTTAGTGTGTCTCATTCTGAAGTTTACCCTTTATTTCTCAGGAATCAATGGTTCAGGAGGTGTTGGCTCGCCAGCTGTCTCACTCTATGACTAGCCCAGTGTTCCCAGGGCTCCCTCTCCCCCTCTACTCCCATGCAGCCATGACCTCCCTCCCTCCAATGTCAGCCATGAAGGAACGGTCAGACAGCTCAGTTGAGGACAGCCAATCAGGTAAGAGTTTTATACCAAGTACTGATTTCTACCGTGATCAGTTCAGATGCATCCCTCATTTTAAGAGTGCAATATTTTTTACATGGAGTGTTATTTTTTTTTAACAGGAAAAATGTATGGTGCTAAAATTATCCGTTCCCAGAAGGAGAAGAATGAGGTGGGTAAACCCCACATTAAGAGACCCATGAATGCATTTATGGTTTGGGCCAGAGAAGAAAGAAGGAAGATCCTGAAAGCCTGTCCAGATATGCACAACTCAAACATTAGCAAAATCTTAGGTAAAGCTGAAATTGAAAGAGAATAGTCAAAGGGAGATAACTTGAGATATATGAATTTATTGAAACAGTTGTCCTGTTGGATGGATTTTTTATTTCATTCTTTTTCCTTGAAGGTGCCAAATGGAAAGCCATGACCAATGCAGAGAAGCAGCCATACTATGAGGAGCAAAGCCGCCTCAGTAAACTTCACATGGAAAAACATCCTGATTACCGCTATAGGCAAGTCACATTTCACAAAATAATGCATTCCAAGTGCCTCACTTAACAGAGTGGATTTTCAAAACTCTATCTGTGAGTGTTCTGAGTTGATGACACAATCGTGTGAATTTAATTATTTTATTGCAATTATAGGCCTCGTCCAAAGCGTACCTGTATTGTGGATGGCAAAAAGCTCCGCATCTCAGAGTACAAGGCTCTGATGAGGACGAGACGCCAGGACATTCGCAGAGTGTGGTATGGCGACTCCCACACCACTTACGTAGAGGGACTCATCGGTGAGTATCCATTATAAGTGTTCTGTCAATTGCCAAATATCAGTGTTACCAAAAAAATTGATTATCAGCCTCAAATGTACCATGACTCTTGTTACCTATTCAGTTTTTGACCAAAATGTGTACTTCAAAGTCTAAATGATCATTATTTATTATTATTATGATTGATCTGTGAACAATACAGTTTTTCACCAAAACATTATGTCAATAGTATATAATTATCAAAATTTGCACTATAATTGCAAACCATTTAACATAGGTTGAATGCTTTACCTCACAAAAATAGATTGATATAATGCAATGAAGCCTTTTGAGCACTTGACTAATATGCCACTCAATGATAACTGTTATTTTGATTCAGGCGAGAATGGCACTTCCTCATCTTTTGATCCATCTCGGCCCCCTCTCCACCCTAACGGAATTCACACAAGTGTAAATAGTTCAACAGTCAATGGAGCTTCTCACCATGGCTTCCCTAGCAACAAGGAGGATGACCTTGACAACTGCAGTGATGAGGAACTCAGTGACATGATGGACCAGTCTTCGGACAACAGTCTCGACTCCGCGCCTTATTCTAATCATGTTTCCAATACCAGCATGGGACACCCTCACGCGGCTATGTCATAGTCAACAAAAATTTCCAGGAAGAACATGAGAATAAAATAAATGGCAGCATTTCTCAAATTTCATTCATATGTGATGCTGTTTGTATGTTTGTTATACTGTGTACATAGGGACGCTATCCAGCGAGACTTTGAACAAGAAATGTCCAGAACATTTTGAACAAACTTCTCTCGATTTTTGAGAGAGATCGCATGTATCCATGTGCACACATCTACGCAAATTTATGTAATGCATGTTTATGCAAGTCAGAATTAGCACAGTTTGGTGCTTGAAAGAGATACTGCAAGTAAAATATGTATAGATAGTTAAGTATCCGTGTAAAATTATACGTTTATGATGTTATGTTTTGCTGGTTCCTTAGACAAAATACAGGGTTTAAACTGAATGCTAGGAGAATGTACTCACATATCGTTGTTGTGTAAATAGTGCTGACTGTATGTACAAATTAGCAATAACAGCTTCACACGCAAATATAAAGAATGTGCTTGATTCTTGTATAGGATAAAGGTTGCTATGACGACGTCCACAGTTGGGACAAGTTTTTTTTGTATACTATAATGTTATTAATTATTATTAATGTTAGATATTTTTATTCTATTATTAATGTGTTATATATATACTTATATACATAAGAAATATAGTCATGGAAGAGAATAGAATTCAGGACCAAATCCATCATGTTCATGCACTGCCTGTTAACTGCTTATTCACATATTCAGGGTCCAATTTATTTTATTGTCATCCAGGTTTTTTTTTCTCTTGTCTTAATTTTTCCCCCTTTACCATGGTGTGTTATAGACACAATTGTAGAATCCCTGACGTCATTTTGTTCATATTTCCTTGAGAAGGTGCATTTTTTCATATGCCAGGACATTTTATCTATTGTTCATTTAACTTGTTTTTCTGCATCCTTTGTTAGACATCTGTCCCCCTTTTTATGAAAATAAATTTGTTATAGGACCTAAGTTTTCAGTTTTAGTTTTCTTTCTTTTTGTTCTATTTTTTCCCTTTGTGCTTTAATCACAAAAACAGCATTCAAAATGTGGTATTGAAAATTGCATATGCATTTTTTAGAAATTGAAATGAGAAGTCAAACGTTTTAAAATCTATACAGACATTTGAAGGTTAAGTCCATTTTATTATAAATCTTACCATATTTTAAGTGTCAACGAATTGTTTGCACTGTATTTTAACTGGCATAAAAGGACATGCAAATTAATTCTGGAGCCAACCCACGTCAGAAAAAGACGCAAGTAATAATAATTTTTTTTTATGTGCCATTTTGTTTGGGCTTCCTTTTTCAAAGCATACAGACTTTTGTAAACACATTACAGGAGTACTGTTAATACCTAAGTCTGAACACACATTAACAATGATTTATTAAGCATGAAATCCTTGATATGGATAAAGGGAAGAATAATGTTAATCCTTCAGATTTCTTCACAAAGTTAAGGAATATGCCCCTGTCAATCCGACCTATTGTCAGAAGAAAAAGGCTATTAAGATGTCTTGATGAAGTGGGTTGGTTGGATAATAAAGAAGTTGATTAAATTGATTGACTTTTGGCAGACTCAGAGTTGACTTTTTAACTTCCTAATGTACTTCTTTAGTCCGAAGTCAATCCCCCTCTTTTTTTTGTTGTGTACTTTTGATGTAATTTTTCCTGCTGACGAAAAACTCTTATTATTACTCAAAGAAAGGATTGTTGACTTTTATTGATGTATTTAAACATTCATATTTGCTCATCAGCTGCCATAATATAAGGGAATGTACAGCTTGTAGCAATTCTTATATTTGTAGATGTAAAATTTGTTCATTTTTTTTCTTGCTTTTAAAAATTTAATTTTTGTCTTTCAAAAAACTTAATTCAGTGTATTTGATCATTCAAAGTTAATTTGTACATATTTTAATATTGCTTATACATTTATTTGAAAACACAATCCAGATTTAAAAATACAAAAAAAAGTTTAAAATATATTTCTAGCTGAAACTAGCACACAGTATCTTGACCAACAATAATATAATGTGCCAATATTTGTTTTATGTTGTAGAATTTATTTCTTGTATATTATTATTATTTAGTTTTGTAAAGTCACATGAAATGTCTCTCGAGGTCACATGACACAAGTAGTCTTCCAATGAAATCTGAGAAAGTACCCTAGTGAATATGCATTATTTGTCTCTGAGGTACCTGCTGATTGAAGGAGTGAATCCTTTATGTAGCCCCAATAGTGTTCATTGTCCAGTTGATAGAAATCATTCTTTTCCTTCCATAGAAATAAAGAAAACAGAACTGAAATTATTAATTGCTACACATAATTATTTGCTGTGGAAATAAAGTTCTCTTAAAGAAAAAAAAATGATTAGTAATAGTTTGGGTTTTTTCTTCGGGGTTTTTTCTTCGGAAATTGTAGCAAAATGTCTATTGAAAGGTTTTGAAAGGTTTCTGGGTTTTTTTTCAATTTTTTTTTTTAATACGAGTGTAATCATGTATTTTTTGAAAGCAAAAGTTTAATTAGTACATATTACTGCAAGGGGTCAAACTTTCATTAAGTGCTTGTTTTATGCTAGTCAATTAAGAAAGTAATTTGATTGTTCTCTTGTGGACTGAAGACTGGTATGGTTTGAATTCCTAAACTTTCAGGTAGTACCACTGTCCTTTCCTAAGATATTGTATGTTTAAGTGTTTCATTATACAATAAATACAAATCTATACATGATTTTATATAAATTGATTATGATAACTAATATTATGCTTTGGCCACAGTACGTTTGGTCTAGAAAGTTACTGAACATGATGTTTGTGGGTAAACTCTTTCACGATTATGGTATATATGTACTCAGAATATTCCTGTAGATGACGGTGACCTTTAAAAAGGTCGCGATAACAAATATCTTGTCACCAAAGAGGTGCCATGATAGAAATTTGTTACTGACCAATAATATTCTTTGTTAACAAATCCAATGTATAACAGATGAGATGAATACGTCCAATATTTAGCTACTGTAGTTAATAAGTTATAGTTTATGATGATTCTGATTTTGTGAATTCAGAGAAATGAAATAAAACTGATTATTAACTTAAATTTTGACTTGAGTTTCTTTGTCATGGGCAAGTGGTGAAATGTTCTAGGCAGAGGGAAAGAAATTTGAAATCTTAGTATAGTCACATACAAGAGTAGACAATTTTTATGCCCCCGGATCGAAAGATCGCGGGGGTATATTGTTTTTGTCCTGTCTGTCTGTTTGTCTGTTTGTCCGTTTGTCTGTCTGTCTGTTGTCAACTTTAACCTTGCCCATAACTTTTGATTGGTTTGAGCTATGACTTTCATATTTCACATGTGTATTCCTTGTGACAAGACCTTTCTTTGGGTACCATCATATTTGACCTTTTGACCTTGACCTTAGAGTTTGACCCACTTTTGCAAAATTTTATGAGACTATAACCTTGGCCATAACTTCTGAACAGTTGGTGCTTGGGGTTTCAAACTTCACATGTGTATTCTTTGTGACAAGGCCTTCCTTTGGATACCAACAACTTTGACCTTTTGACCTTGACCTTGGAGTTTGACCTACTTTTGTAAAACTTTAACCTTGGCCATAACTTTTGAACAGTTGGTGTTTAGGGTTTCAAACTTCACATGTGTATTCCTTGTGACAAGACCTTCCTCTGGATATCAACCACTTTGACCCTTTGACCTTGACTTAGGAGTTTGACCTACTTTTGAAAAATTTTAACCTTGGCCATAACTTTTGAATGGTTATTGTTTTTGTCCTGTCTGTCTGTTTGTCTGTTTGTCTGTTTATCTGTTTGTCCGTTTGTCTGTTTGTCTGTCTGTTGTCAACTTTAACCTTGCCCATAACTTTTGATTGGTTTGAGCTACGACTTTCATATTTCACATGTGTATTCCTTGTGACAAGACCTTTCTTTGGGTACCATCATATTTGACCTTTTGACCTTGACCTTAGAGTTTGACCCACTTTTGCAAAATTTTATGAGACTTTAACCTTGGCCATAACTTCTGAACAGTTGGTGCTTGGGGTTTCAAACTTCACATGTGTATTCTTTGTGACAAGGCCTTCCTTTGGATACCAACAACTTTGACCTTTTGACCTTGACCTTGGAGTTTGACCTACTTTTGTAAAACTTTAACCTTGGCCATAACTTTTGAACAGTTGGTGTTTAGGGTTTCAAACTTCACATGTGTATTCCTTGTGACAAGACCTTCCTCTGGATATCAACCACTTTGACCCTTTGACCTTGACCTAGGAGTTTGACCCTACTTTTGAAAAATTTTAACCTTGGCCATAACTTTTGAATGGTTAATGCTAGGGCTTTCATACTTCACATATGTAATTCTTGCAACAAGACCTTCCTTTGGATACCAACCACCACTTTGACCTTTTGACCTTGACCTAGGAGTTTGACGTACTTTTGAAAAACTTTAACCTTGGCCATAACTTTTGAATGGTTAATGCTAGGGCTTTCATACTTCACATATGTAATCCTTGTGACAAGGCTTTCTTTGGATACCAACCACTTTGACCCTTTGACCTTGACCTTGGAGTTTGACCAACTTTTGAAAAACTTTAACCTTGGCCATAACTTTTGAATGGTTAATGCTAGGGCTTTCATACTTCACATATGTAATCCTTGTGACAAGACCTTCTTTGGATACCAACCACTTTGACCCTTTGACCTTGATCTTGGAGTTTGACCAACTTTTGAAAAACTTTAACCTTGGCCATAACTTTTGAATGGTTAATGATAGGGCTTTCATACTTCACATATGTAATCCTTGTGACAAGACCTTCTTTGGATACCAACCACTTTGACCCTTTGACCTTGACCTTGGAGTTTGACCAACTTTTGAAAAACTTTAACCTTGGCCATAACTTTTGAATGATTGATGCTAGGGGTTTCATACTTCACATATGTA